GGTGGCGTTTAGTTGCTAAAGGAGAGAAAGGCAGATGAAGATGCTCTTTATATATTGTTTTTCCTTCTGCTGAACTACCCCCTGGAACTTGATACGGGGTAGAAGCTATTAGGATATTTCCATTTACGGTTGCTTATACCATCGTGAACCTTGCTTGATCATGGGAATCTAATTACTGACAGTAACTATTTGAAAAGGGGAAAAGATCACCCACTACCAGTTCATATGCCGGGATAGCATCCTGAGTATACGGTTATTATTAGGCGCTAACAGAGGCATACTACAGTACTCATACGAGATCAGGAGTTCCAGCTCCTCCTAGTCCATACGCGTACCTTATCCTTAACTAAGTCACGCTATGCCGATAGTCCCATGTATTATCACACTACATCTACACCGTGTCGAGGCTTGCAGAATGATTTGCTGGATTCAAAGGGGTCTAAACTGCGGCGGTGAAGCCAAACTTGTTGATGAGTAAGGACTCAAGGGAGTATTCTTTTACCGTATACTTTGCAAGTATATTTATAACTTAAAAGGAACAGCTAGCCCATCAGCAAAAGATGCCGATCCTATTTCGCCACGCAATAATCAAACTCAGGTTTGGAAGCTAGGGAAAAGACGTGGTAAACAATTAACATTAGACTCTAGTTGAAGTGATTAATTCTAGGAACCACTTTAACACAGTTATCAGCTGTTAGCCGTTCGACAACCACTGTCTAATTCTACTTGTTTATCTATGTCTCTTATGTTGCTTTGCACCTTGTTGTGACATATGACAATTACTACTCTAGCATACTGAGTACCAGATATAGGTAAAGTACGTAATAGATACCTGCAACCTATCATAATAGTCTCCTGTAAAAGAGACACTCGGTTGACTTGAAGCTCATTGGGAACCATCTATGCTGGCAACTGTCATGTACAATACCGGTTGATTTCCGATATCCGATTCCTAGCCGTTGCGATCTGGCGTGGTAACATGCGTAATGCCACTACATCTCAGCTCAGCTCAGCAGACGTTCGATGCTATTAATTGATTTGTCTTTCCGGGTCATCGATGTTATTGGCTTGTGAGCGGCGCATTGACGACGCAGTTGCAATAGCGGGGGAGAAGACATAATCCTGCATGGAGGCTTAACTTGCTAATATCCTCATAATCGCTTCCGACTTGCCGTTTTATTTCCGGTCGACAGCGCGTGAACCACCAAAACACTCAACATCTGTAGGAGCATTTCGCCCGGTGCACCAATATCAAGCAGCCAGCCAAATCTAGACATGCTTATATCATACTTCCATCTGAGAGTTACTAAGCGATCCTCACAGTCTAATGAAGACAAGAGCTAAGCCAATCATGAGCTCCGTCTCTAAGAGGCGAGGAGGCGAACCTGTTATAAGACCGTTAGTCTCGTGTATGTATCGAATTGTGGCCCTAGTGACAGGTCAGGTTTCCAGCGGGTTGTTGAATTAATTACTCCAGACTTAGTTGTAGATGCTAATTTGCCATTTCGTTCATCTTGCGTCTGGAAAGTATTTGTCGCACAAGACCAGTTCCTAGCTAGCACTCCTATTAGAATCGTTATAAGACTAAATTGTTAAGTTAATAACTACCATGATTAAGCTTATAGCTACCTAGGCTTCTATGAGATATATTATTAGATGTATTGGACCATGGGAGGATTCAAATACCACCTTGGAGCTGGCAGGCCGCATATATCCGGACCACAGGACATAGTTGAAGAAAAATACGTAATACCACTCAAGACTTAGCTTCAAAGTACAAGTTAGTAAATAGGATCAGTAATCAAGTAATTATCTAAGGTCATCAATAGACACATTGAGTCTAATAATGTAAATGGTAGAAAGAATAGCTTGAAGCGGATTCGTATTGAACTAACACTGGGAATTATTACTTCAAACCAGGGGCTTATACTAAAAAAGCTAGAAAAGCGATATAGGTAAGGTAATAATATAGAGACAACATTAAACCTTCGAGTTTACACCGTGCTACCCTTTGGTGGTGTAGCAGTATGATAGCTATCTTCCGTACCATTTTCGACCGCTAATAACAGGAACCCTTATTAAAGCGCTGACTGCTTGGGTTTATATTATATATATATCGTTTCGTTATGCTACTGTATTAACGGGGCTACCAAATTCATACGAAAACTCTTTAGTTAAGGGATTGAAGGATATTAGTCGTTTCGCTAAAAGTCCTTTTATGATTGGAAGTTATTAGTAGTGTTAAGTTACGTTGAAATTGACAGCTTGAAATAACCTCCTAAAAACCATAGGAGTTACAAAGTCTCGCTACCTTAATTCAACCATAGGTATTCATAGACTATCTACCCAATGCCTCTCTATATGCACCCTACTCCGCACCAGTCTGACACTTAAAAGCAGCGAGTCATATACAAAATATGGTACGGTTCTGGGAGGGTAAGATTCGGCAAGCACTGTAACTAAATGCCATAGCCTCATGTGAATACATGTTTCGGTTCTGTTCGGAATTGCAACATACGTTGATGAGAAGTTGCCTTCAACCTCATACTACACAGTCCATAGCTTACTCATACCGTTACATCGAATCCACAATATCTCAATACATATTCATACATATTGGTCAGAAGCTGACGCCAGCTGAGAATGGAGCAGGTGCTGGCGACAGACCCTCACCACCACCGATAGCCGTCGTAGGTACAAGCCTCGAAAGATTAAACCCATCATGAGATAGATCACGATACTCTGTTCCGTCTCTCCGTTTGCTTGAAAGTTCATTGCCGGTTACCCGAGGATGATTCGTCGACCCACAATGGAATAAGGGATGTGTGTTTTAAGGAGCTACTTGCGTCTTGTTTAAGACTACATCAAGTTCATGGAGGCGATATTAAGCTCTATTCTCTATACTAACCTATGATGATATCTAGATACTCCATCTTAGCTGCCGCGACTGGGGCCTGGGTCATATTAGCTGCCGCTGGCCCGGTCTTAGAAGTTGTTCAGATTGAGACAACTCCTAATGGCTTCACGAGTTCACCAAGAGGATGGAACTCTTTTGGTATACAGGCTAATCCCAATACCACGCCCGGCTTCTCATTCAACCAGACTGGTGTGCTAAGCCAGTGTGACGTACTAGCAAAAACCACCGCACTTAAAGACGCCGGGTACATATATTGCAGTCTTGACTCCGGATGGTCTGTGGGTGGTAATGGCGATGAGTTCGGACGTATCATCTATGATTCGTCTATCTTTGACATCCCGAGCCTGGCTAGTCACTTACACGCCGAAGGCTTGCTCCTTGGCGTTTATGTTGTGCCCGGAGCTTTCATCGCCGACGAGGCAAAAACGATACTTGGGACGAACGTCGCCATTGGCTCAGTATGCTCCGGTGACAATGGCTTAGCTCGCTGCAACTTCGATTATTCTCAACCAGCCGTACAAGAATGGCATAATTCTGTTGTGAACCAATTTGCTTCTTGGTAAGTTTACGGATCGATGTTGAAGCACGAGTTATTTGCAGCTAAGATGTCAATAATCAATCGAAGGGGTGTCGACTTCATCAAGCTTGATTTCATAACACCAGGCTCGCCAGCAAATGGTGTAAACCTACCTCCTGATTCGAGTGGCGAGGTTATTGCGTATCACCAAGCAATTGCCCAGTCGGGACGAGATATGCGTCTGGACATCTCGTGGAAGCTGGACCGTTCGCAGAAGTATTTCGACATCTGGGAGACGAATGCCGACTCCATGCGCACCGACCAAGATATCAATAACGGCGGGGCATCAACATTTGTGTCTTGGGAAGTTGTCCAACGGGCTATTGACAATTACCGACAGTACATTACAACTGTAACGGCGTATAATACAACTCTGACGATATACCCCGACATGGATAACCTCTTCGTAGGGAATCCTGCCTCGGTCTCGGGCGTGACGGATGACGAACGTCAAACAATCATGACACACTGGCTCGGAGCCGGAGCTAATCTCATTGTCGGCTCTGACTTGACCAGCCTTGACGGTTTGGGGCTCAACCTATTGACAAACCCAAATGCCATTGCGATTGCCGATTTTACCGCCCACTACCCGATGCAGCCCCGAAACCCGGGGTCCGGCTTGGCCAATTCTCAACAGTTGCAGGCGTGGATTGCTGGGCCCGACGCGTCAGGGGCTGCTGTAGTCATAATTGCTAACTACGGCCCGGACGAAGGCCAAGGTGGTTTTGGGACTTCGTTATCGGGAATGCAGACTATTAGCGTGTCATGGGATGACCTAGGAATTAATGGTACGTTTGACGTCCATGATGTATGGGCTGATAAAGATCTGGGGGCTGAGAGTTCAGGCTTGAGTGTACAACTTGGGGAAGGACAAACCGTTTTATACAAGTTGACTCAGTCATAAACAAAAAGATAGAGGAGCAATAAGAGATATCAGACCAATCAGTTATCACATAGAATAAAACACAGTCAATCTCTTTCTTGGTTGATCCCGGATGGTATGTAGCCTTGATATAAGGCTTGGAACTCTTCAACGGAAAATATACGGCGAATAACTGATAGCATCAGCGGTTTATGTCATTTACCAAGCGATTTAAAGTCATGAGACACTCAGTTTCTGGAAAATGATAGATAAGAAAAAGTGTTGCGGGACAAAGGCCAATGGGGAATAGGGGTTATACTATTATTGAAGAGAAGAACCCATGGGAGAGGGGATATTCTTGTAGTACGCGCGTAAGAGGTACACAACATAATAAGGAGACTTAAACCAGCCAATCAGATCTTACTAATCAAAATTGGAGATTTGGGGGCTTTCTAAGTTGATATAACTACCTACATAAGTCCCATAAAAATAAACGTTTAGTTACCTAGGTAGTTTCGATAACAACAAACTGTAACTATTCCATGTTGAAGGACGTCCGCGACCTCTCCAAGGCAGAATAAAATAGTAAAAAATTATCCCGTATTGAGTTGACATATCAATACGCGATAATTACAAAAATCAACGGGCTCAACCGGGATTCGAACCCGGGACCACTCACATTTTCAAGTCTCGTTCAAGAGACTGGGTAGAGAATATAGAATAGTTCTAACCCGAAGCGAGTATCTTACCACTGGACCATTGAGCCGTGATTGGACAGAATTGTTGCTTCTTGTGCTTGTTTATATCTCCATGCTTAAAATATGGGTCTTTTGCAGATTGCCAACTAACCTCATATGGTAGTTGGCCCACTCCGTATTTGGGGTCACATTCTACCCCTTCCACCCTTTCCACACCCCTTCTGCACCTGCTGCGGTAGATGCTGCACGGGGACCTGGATTATGGGTAGATTCGGTAAGCGTAGGCTTGGAAGGTGGACTTCTCCAAAGATTGAAGCCATACGTAATAAACCCCTACTTTACATACTGCATATGTACCTAACTTAGTGTACATGTATTTCCACTTGTAGGTAGGCCTTGGTCATCCATTCCTTACATACTTTGCATTTGTCTAACGTGACTTTTTGCTTCCAGTTGCAAGTTGCAGGTTGCACCACTTCCAACCCACTTTCAGACCATTTCTTCCTGTCAGTCCTGTCAGCTGTCTTTCTCTTTGATGTTCATATTCTATTTTATATTACGTGCCTTTCGTCAATCTTCTATCGAACTCGCCCCCTGTTTTCTAACATAGGGTTCTTGAGTTCCCTGAATAGCAAATTTCCCAATCCATAAGCTGATACTACGTAGCAACGTGCCCCAGTCGTATACTATTTTTTTTTTAATCTAGTTCAAGACTCGTTTGCTCTGTTATTATCAACGACGATGCTTTTCACGTCCGACTCGATTTCGTTTGGTCCGACGTAAAATGTTTCTTTCTGGCTTACTAGGTGCCTCATCCGGCCGGAGAGGTTCCTTCAAATCAAGCAGGTCAAAGCCATCCAGACGTTCTCCTGATGTCTCCCCGTCGCGCTCTCGACATCTTGCTTCCTCTTCTCCCGAGTACCTTTTCGATGAGTCGCAGCTCCAACCTCCTGCTCAACCGCCACCGGATGTTCAAGATCTCAACCAGAACCTCGAAAGGCTCGCCGCCTTGTTTCCCGATATCCAAGTCGAAGTCTTCCGGGAGATGCTCGCATCCTTTTCCGAGGAGTCGCGGTTGTTCATAATCACGGATAAGTTGTTGAAGAATCCAGGAGAGTTCGTCAAGGGGCGGAGGAGAGCTAATGATCACGCCGGCTCCGACGCGAATACGTTAGTTTCGAGGACGGATGCATTTCGAACGGCGGAGTACAAGAGAGCAGTCCGTGCCCTGGCAGCGCAAGAGTTTAAAGGGTTACTATCTAGATCCTCTATTGACGCTGTTTTATCCGAGTACAACTACTCGTATCTTGACGCGCGACAGACCCTTGTGGATTTATCTTCCAAGACGTGGAAATTCACTATATCTTCCTTTCTCTTTCGTCGCAAACCCGTGACTTCTGCTGAGGCAGAAACGCATCCCCTAATTATATGGAAGTCCGCCGACGATGGGTCTATGGTCCCGACTATAAAGGCAACAGGCAGTTCCGAATTGGACAGAGAATTATTTGAAGAGCTTATAATACCGTTAAAAGAACGCGAACAATTGCTGCGAGAGGAAAGGGACCGCGCCATGGCTGTTTCCCTGCTTACGGAGGATGCTGAGGCTCAAGAAGCCATGTTTGAGTGCACTTGCTGCTATTCGGATGCAATTTTTGAAGAGATTACTACCTGTACGGCTGAAGGGCATATCGTTTGTTTTAACTGCGTTCGGCATTCTATCACCGAAGCGGTATTTGGGCAGGGATGGCAGCGTAGCATCGAGAAGGAAACAGGTGCACTTCGATGCCCCGCCGTGGCATCGGTGGAGTGCGCAAGCTGCATATCGCCGGAGCACATTCGTCGAGCTATGCAAGCGGAGAAAAACGGGGATGAGATTATACGCAAACTTGACCAACGACTGGCGGAGCATGGTCTATTATCTAGTGGCCTACCTCTAATCCGGTGCCCCTTTTGCACCTATGCTGAAGTCGATGATCTTTATATACCAGCCAGCGCGCGGAGACCCAGGATTCGTGTCAGCAATATTCCAAACATTGTCGTCATCTTTATTTGCTTAATATTGTCTCCCCTTTCAGTTCCCATTCTCATACTAGCGTTGGCCTTCGCTATTTTGAGCTTGAATTATTCGTTTAGGGCTTATGTGTCTCGCCGTTTAGGAGCAGCTGTGATGAGATACCAGCGTCGTCGTCGTGGGTTAAGATTTAACTGCCAAAATCCAGCCTGCAAACGCTCGTCTTGCATATCATGCTCGAAAGCGTGGGTCGATGTCCATGTCTGCCACGAGTCATCTCTCGTCGCTCTGCGCACGCAAGTGGAGCAAGCGATGTCTATGGCGATTAAACGTGTTTGCCCTCGATGTAGTACATCATTCGTCAAGACGGCTGGATGCAACAAACTGACCTGTCCGTGTGGTTACAAGATGTGCTACGTCTGCCGGAAAAACATTGGCACTCCAAACGAGGGCTACCAGCATTTTTGCCAGCATTTTAGGCCCGAAGGTGACGGTCGACAGTGCGGCGAATGTAGCAAGTGTAACTTATGGGAGGCCGAAAATACCGAGGAAATCCTCCGAAAAGCCAAGATGGAAGCGGAGCAGAAATGGAGAGAATCGGAAAGACGTGAATTGTCCGACGCCGAGAAAGCGTATCTCGAAGATGGTGTCGGTAGATTCTGTCGGGACAAGGGTTTGGGACGGCTGCTTCCGGGTGGTAAGGTCCCAAGCATTGACGAAGTTTGTGATTTAATTATAGAGGCCTTATTTGTATAAGCGGGATGAATCAGATCAGGTTGGGTATGGAGTTTTTTTGGTTAAGGGAACAATAGTGGGTATCAACTGAACCCTCTCTCCTCGAAGTCGACTTTTTGAAAGCAAACCTTGCATTGGGAACGGGCGTAAGAGAAAAACATGTCGGCCATACGGTTGGAAGGGGTTTAGGAGGTTATTTTGTATGTTATACCCATGAGCAGCGTCGTACATGCAATTATTTGTCACAGGCTACGGCCTCCAGTAATACTATCGTATACAATGATTTAACTAGCTGTAACTTGATACAAAGTGCGTATTATTTCGACATGTTATCGATGCCATAGACCCTAGATTCACAAAGAGACTACATTCAGGGGTCCTTTTATAGGACAATATTCCGACAACTATAATCTGATGTTATTAGGATGCTCGATATACGATATACGCAAGGTTAGCTTCACTCCCAATGCTAGGTACCCCTATGTTCACCGAACATGATCCAGCGCATCGGTGCTACAAATTAGGGGCCTATTCTTTTCGACGCAGAATTCAATTGAAAAATGTCACACTTGCATTCATAACGCAAACCACTCCTGAACTGAAATGCCATGTTCCCAGTTAATAAGCTACATACCTACATACATCATCTTTTTTATAACGACCAACAAAACAGGGAAAAGATATAACTCCCAATGCTATAAAAATATTAATGCTTCCCTATATCATACCATTCCATCTCATACTCATCCCGTCTCGTCTCATTTCGACTCATACACCCACCCTCTTCTCACAACATCCCCCATCCACAACCACAACCATCCCACCCCATCTCCCAGGCGGATTCACAACCTGCCACCATTCCCTGCGCCATTAACGAGCTCCGCCGCGGCGCCCGAGATCGCCAGACGACCCGTCTCCTTGACCTTGGTCTGGAAGACGACCTTGGACGGCCCCTCCTTCCACATCTCCGTCACCAGGGTCTGGCCAGGCACCACGGTGCCTGCGAACCGCACCTTGACGTTGCGGAAGGGCCCGAACTTCTCGTATACCGCCTTGGCCGCCACGCCCATCGAGCACAGGCCGTGCAGGATGGGCACCTTGAACCCGCCCATCTTGGCGAAGTTAGGGTCGATATGCAGAGGGCTGGAATGTCTGGTTAGTTATATACTTGGGACAAGTGAAGATTTCGAGGGGAAACGCAAAAGAAAATAAAAATAAAGAAATAAAAATAAAAACTCACTTGTAGTCCCCGCTAAGTCGGTAGATAGCAGCCTGCTCCTCCGTAGTCTTGCTCTCGACAATAATATCCGGGTGTCTCTTAGGCGGGGCGTTCGCAGCCGTAGCCGCGCCCCGGTCGGCGGGTTTCTTCTGGCCACCGAACCCACCGCATCCCCTGAGGAAGACGGTCGCCTCGTTGTAGAAGAGCTCCTCGTTGGTCTCCGCGTTCACCGTCGTCACGCCGTACTTGAGGATCGCCGCGTTGCCCTTGTCCACCACCTCGATCAGCTTGCCGAAGTTCTTGGTCCGCGCCGCCGTCGGGATCGGGTACTTCTTGACCTCGAGGTACTGCTCGCCGTGCAGCAGCATCATGGGCGAGAAGTTGGGCACCACCTCGTCCATGCTGAACGGCATGCTTGTGTCGAACTGCGGGATCACGCCGTACGTCGGCAGCACCTGGAAGTTCTCGTGGCCCTCGAACACGTACTGCAGCTCTGTCCTCTTGGCACCAACGCCCAGGTTGTACAGCAAGCTGTCGCGCTCTGTGTAAGTGAACTCCGTAGGTTCGGACTTAGCAGCCAGAGCATTCTTTTGGGCTTCGAGATACTTGTTACTTTCGGTAGGAGCCTGGGCAAAAAGCAAAGAAGTCAATATCAATAGTTCATTCGTTTGCTAGACTAGAAGAAATTTTTACACATATATATACATGATAGCTAGTCCAAATAGGAAGGCATTAAAGAAAGAGGGCTCATCATACCTTAGATGCCCCTCGCTTGTTCTCCATGTTAGCCATGATCTTCGCTATCGAGTCTTGGGCCTTCTCAGGGTGGTCTGCTCGGCCGTCGTCGAAGTCGACGATCTTAGCCCAGTTCTTAGCAACCTCTTCGGGAACCAGCTTCACGTCAACCGGAAAGCCAACACCTCCTGACCTCTGCCACCTCGTCCGGCCGCACCAACCGCTGCCTACTTCGTACAGGTAGCCTGTGGGGTTCTTGGGTACCTTGTCACTGCAGAGAGCAAGAACAAGGGGAGCAATGTAGTCAGGTTTGAAGGCTTGGACCAGTTCCTCTGGTAATATAGTTCGAGTCATGGCAGTTCCAGCGT